CGCCCATTCCCCACCAATTCCCCGCGGTCTGCGGCCATTTTCCCGCCCGTGCCACGTGGTCCGTGGCCATTTTTCCGCCCGTGACACGTGGTCCGTGGCCATTTTTCCGCCCGTGACACGGGGTCCGCGGCCATTTTCCCACCCGTGACACGTGGTCCACGGCCATTTTCCCACCCGTGACACGTGGTCCGCGGCCATTTTCCGCCCCTGACACGTGATCCGTGGCCATTTTGCGCCCCTGACACGTGGTCATAGGGAGGTGGACTCTCCCTCCAAGCAATAGCCGCCTCCCTGTCCTCCACGCCAGAACAGATTAACGGTAATTATATTGAACCTTATGGGAAAATTTGCTTTGGGTCGCGACCAATTCGGGTTGCGACCAGAGTCACGGAACGAATTAAGTTCATAACCCGAGGTACCACATTTTGGCTCTGGAGGAGAACAAAGTCTACAAAATGACCACAGTAATATCAGTAATGAAAACAAATCAGGTGAGTAATATAAAGAAAACCCAGATGAGCATGGTTGTTTAATACAAAACATTATCGAAGACCCAAAACAAGGTTTTGATAGACTTTCCTCTCTTTTTCCCATGAATGGTGCTTCAGGACATAATCATGTGCCTTCCTTACAATCTCTCTATGGAAAAACGGGTCCTTAATCAAAGTTTTGGCCAGCTGGACAAATTCCTGAAAAGGAAGGATGTAGGATGGGCAATCATTATTAGTATTCTACTGTTAATGCTGGTGGTGCTTCACAAAACATCATCAGAAAGATCTCTGCCCTGTTATCGAGGTAGACCAGCTCAGGAAGCAGACACCAGGTCTACCCACCAGAAGATTTCCCACCAAGATTTTCCAAAACACAGAATAACAAACTCTTAAACTTCTTATTATTTATTGCGTTTCTTCTGTCTGATGAAAGAATGGAGGAAAGGGAACAATAAGGCCAAAGTCATTCTGTGTGTGTGTGTGTGTGTGTGTGTGCACGTGTGTGTGTGTGATAAAAGAGAATCCTTAGGTGGTGATAGTAGATCCTCAACTGTTCATTGGTGGGAGGGAAGGGGACATTGACCACTATTGCCCCACCTAAAATTCTCAACTGTTCTTGAAGCTCACCCTGTTGCCCAACACCTAATAGTGATCATAAGAGAGACTGGGAAGAACACAGCCCTCAGGACAATTTGCCAGAAAACATCAAAACCTTAAATGTTTTCTCTCTGTTCTTCACCAGTGGGACCTCATGGACACATTACAAATATAATAATAAAGTTCTGGTTCAGGAAAACCAACTGCAACTTATAACAAAAAGATTCATTTCTGAACACTGCAGGAAGTAACAGACTCGGGAGAAAAATGTTTTTTTTTTTTTTGAGGGGGGTTAGTTATATCAAAGACTAATGAAAACAGAACATCTAACTTCCTGGCTATACTTAACAGCATTCATCATGCTAAAAAAAAGGCTTAAGAAGAAAATGTATTTTCCACTTTGTGGCTTTACTTAATCTGGGTCTGCATTTTTATTCTTTCAAAGCATAGCCTTACTGCACGTAACTGATTATTGATGGAGAACTGAAATCTAATTTATGGGATCAACAGGATTAATTCTCCCATAATTCCTCCCATTCCCCAGTCCCTCCTTTTTGAGTCTAATAACACACACTGGTTAATTAGGAGACAGGGTGAACCTTCAAGATAATGTGCATACAGAGGACTTAAAATCTTGGTGGTTACACATTTTTCACAGCTGCGACCCGGGTGCCACAAACTGTTGGAAAGCTTAAAACAAATAAGATCAAGGTTTTCAGTATGGTAGTGGAGCTACAAATTGCCTTGGATGTGACACATCCTGCGGGTTACCCACAAGAGGTGGGTGGGGGAGAATTAGGTCTCAGTTGAAAATGTAACCCCCAACTCTGCTTCAGCACCATGAGACATGGACAGCTTCCAATATCCAATTCTTTCATTCTCCAGGAGACAGAGTAGATAGATATAGATAGATGATAGATAGACAGAGATATAGAGATAGACAGATCCCACCAGGGCTGGTATCATTTTAGCTTTTCCACCCAATTTCTGCAGATTCAGAAATGTGGCTGTGCCTTTGTACCTGTGGCCAAGATTATGACCAATGACACAAGTTCTTTCATGTTAGTGATGATGTACAAGGTGCTAGGGCAAGGATATGAATACTAGAGATGTGTAAGCTTGGGAAAATATGGGGAAATGGAAAAAAGATGTATTTCTCCTCTCCTCCCCAATTCCCTGCTAGGCTTCCCTGCCCTTCACCCCATTATTCTCAGACCTCTTGCAGAAAAAGGAAGGCTGGACAGGAGCCACGATGAAAATGCTAGAGCAGAACTCGAGAGACCAAATTTGCTCTTAGTGGTGGAAGCTAACGGGGCAACTTTGGACCAGTGATGCTCTCTTGGGCCAACCTACCCCACAGGGTTGTGTGGGAAGAAATGGAGAGGGGAATATTAAGTATGAAGCTTGGCGCTCCTGAAAGAAAGACAGGATATAAATGCAGTGAGCAAATATAATAGATTGGTGATGGCCTGAGATGAGGAAGCAAATCTGCAGGAGATGGGGGGGTCCTTGCTAAATCCAGAACACTTTGCTGTTCTACTGAAATCCAGCAGGAGATCTATCTGGAGCCCACATAACCCCCCCCCCCCATACACCTTGTCTACACAGGACCCAACATATTTTTAACTTAATTTACTTAATATTACCTGGGGGGTTGAATATAATAATCCAGTTGTTTGGTGCAGAATTACTGCAGCATTTCCTGGAATATTTCTCGCCAGCACAGGAACATTTAAATCCATTGCCTGTTACACAGAAAAGAAAGAGCTCACATTTGGTAGGATGGAGACCTTGTAGGTAACTCTAATGCAGGCCAGTCAGTTACAGAAAATCAGCAGCTTATTACTTACTTCGCCAAGTCTCATTCCAAACAGAAAAATATTTTCTGAACCCACTACAGCCACCACAGTACAGTTTCATGTACATAGAACCAAATGATCTCAAAACAAAGCTGGATCTGGCTAATTCTTGGAGGAGACACCACCAGGAAATTCCAGGCTAGAATTTGAAGAGGCATCCCGAAAGAGCACATGTCCATGCAGTCAGCAGAAGATGAGCTCAACAGAATTGGGCATCTAGAGCAGTGTTTCTCAACCTTGGCAACTTGAAGATGTGTGGACTTCAACTCCCAGAATTCATCATAACTTCGAACAGTTGTTAAATGAATGGTCGTAAGTCGAGGACTACCTGTACTGTTCCTTTCTTTGAAGTCCTACAGAGCTTGATATGACCTTGCCCTTCCCATGAAGCATTTTTTAGAGCAGTCTCCCATAGGACCCTTCAGCCAAGCTAAGGCAGGACGGTGTGATGGATGTTCTTTCAAATCCTCCCTTCTTTCCTTCCACGCTGGCTGGGAAATTCTGGGAGTTGAAGTCCACACAACTTCAATTGGCCAAGGTTGAGAAACACTGCTCCAGATTCTTGGGCGTGGAGAGGAGCAGTGAATAGCACAGGAGTCAGCATGATGGCCTGACTCCCAATGTTCCCGGAATGAACAGGAGGTGTGTCTCCCACTGTGAAGACGAGGCCAACCAGGACATTTATCACTGCCAAGTTTGGAAGCACCACTGTAGCAACCATGGGGGAGCCACCATTCGTCTTCACAAGAAGCAGGACCTTTTCTGCACAAGCCCCAGTATTTCTTCTTAGTGCAATTTGACAAGGTTCCTCCCGGCTTTCCATAGACAAGTAAAAATCTTTTCTTTAAATTCACCTTCAGGATGAAATCTGGGCCCTGTCTGGTTTTAGACTCCTGTTGCATGTTCTAAAGTTTTTATAGAACCTTTTCATATTATTCAAAACCCAGCAGACCACTCCAGAACTTTGGTGAAGAAAGAGAGAGGTGCATTTCCAGTCATACTGATCAGGCTATGTCACTGACATTTAAGTGAAGTCCTAAGGGCGTCGGCAACCCTGCCAGAATTTTCTCTTAATCTGCGCTGGAATCTTTTCAGTCCTCATCCGTGCAAAACAATGGCATGAAGTACTTATGCCCGTGGAAGCCTCATCTGCCTACACTCGCTGGGCAAAATCTCCAACCTGGGGTTTCAGTTGCCAGCATCTGGTTTCAAAAAAGTCATGGAAACCTCTCTACCTCTGCAGGCTTCATGGCTCATCTTGTACAATTATCGAAGAGTTGGGGCCAAAGAGAGAAATCTACTCTTCCGGCTGCTCGATCCATACCGATTTGGCTAGCACTTAGAAGAGAATGCACTTTTAATTCTTCTCATTACAGCATCCGACGGGGCAGAGGAAGGCAGGAGATTTTCCAGTGCCCTGGAAGCAAAGCAGGACAACCTGGGGAGGGTAAAGCATAGTTGATTATTTTGAACGAACCCACAGGCCAAACGTGGCTACACCTTTGGGGTGCCATGCTTGACGGGCAGGCTAGTGACACCGTCCCCCACGCCGGTGCCCCCCAAACATGTGAACTCCGACTCCCATAATCTCCAAGCAGGTTGAATTAGAGGGAAGTGCAATTCCAGGCTAGTGTGAAACATTCCACCATATGAGAATTGATGTAGTGTAACAGAGAAATTACAGGAGTCAAAATCCAACGCAGGTAAAGAGCATCGGGTTGGATGATGGCTGAGTTAGATGCGTTTCACTCCCTTCTCCTCTGCTTCCTTTTTTCTTCTGTTCCTCCTCCTCCTTCGCTCCCAAGGCAATAGGGTCTCCAAGGGAGGGAAGCTGAATGTATTGGTTCTTTTTGGGGAAGGGTGGGGAGAGAGATTCCTTTCAAAGGAAACGGAAACATTAATCCAAGCAGAGGCCTAACCCATCCATTGGGTTGTCGTTTCACACACATACAACACACCCTGCTATTACATCAGCAGGGAAGACGGGAGCAGATGGCGAAGGCAGGAGACGAACGCTTGGCTTTGTACCAACCGAGCCTACCTGAATGGATATGCAGTAAGCAATTATTGCCCCAGATGACTGGGGAATTTAAGGCAGCTGTCCTTTCCTTGAGCCAGGTGACGGTGTGATAAAAATACCTGTAATGTGGATGCACTAGAATGCAATGACTGACAGGGCGTCCTCCCTTTTCAGAAGCAAAATACGATATAAAAGCAATCCAGGAGAGGAAGCCAGTTGATTTATTATTGTTATTCCCCCTCGTCCCTTTATCTCTTGGGCAAACATTAAACCCAAGTGCCAAATTACAATACAGAACCCTCAATCTGTAAATCATATTCTTCTTCTTCTTCTTCTTCTTCTTCTTCTTCTTCTTCTTCTTCTTCTTCTTCTTCTTCTTCTTCT